GACCACTTCTTCCCAACTGAATTAAGACATAGAAATGAATTTTCCAAGCAGAATAGGTACCTGTTTTGAATTCTATTCCAGAATTTTAAAGCTTTAGAGTTTAAGTCACACTGTGGAAACTCATCTTGAACCCTCTTACCCTTTCCACTCCTGACTTTAAAAAATAAACGTACCATCCAATCTTCAATGGTTGGGATGTAAATAGAATGGGGGTAAAGATGTAGAAAGGGATAGAACCTAGGATGTCTTCTTTGTACCCTCAAGGTCTCAACTCCAAAGAAATGGCTCTTGAAGCATAGTTTTCCCTGGTATAAACAACAGTGGGCAGAGAGGAAGGAGATCATTAGAACTGTTATTTTTTTCACACTAAGACTGCTCATCAGAGATGATCAATGTGAATCAGGAAAGAAGCAAAAGTGAGAAGAGGAAGAAGTGGGAGGAACCAGAAGGCACAGCTCAGGAAGGGGAAAAATAAAACTGTCTGTGAGGGAAGACAGTTCAGTGATAGCCATACAACCTGAGGGGTCAGGAGACAGAGGCTTGGCTTGGGCACTGTCAGAGGATGAGGAGGTGTTGGGAAGGTGGCTGAGAATTACTAATTCTACAGGAAGGAGACAGAGCACTGAGGGTGGGCGAGTCCTATATGCTGTTATTCAAAGTAGCTTTCTGGTTCACTATGAAGCAACAGAGAAATATCTGAAACCAAAACTAAATCAGCACAGGAGATGGGTTATCAGAATAAAACATGCAAGGCAGTGTGCCTCTGAGTCACCTTTTTATACTCCACAGGACCAAGCAGAGTGCCTTGTGCAGAGCAGGCCCTCACTCTATAAATAATTGAGAGAGGGAGATAAGGAAGCAAAGAAAGGAAGGAGGGAGGGAGGGAGGATATTGGGAAGAAGGTAGGTGGATGGGAAGATGCCAAATTCTTGGATAAACTTGAGTCTTAAAAAAAAAATATCCTGCACGTTCTAGTTTAGCACTGGCTGCTCACTTAAAAGAAGTAAATAATTGCCCCACATAAGCATCTTCACTTCTGTATGTAGACAAGTGCCCAGGTTTTAGTCCATGCCTCAAAGAGGATCAAAGACCTGAGGCCAGGAGAACCATCACAGTGCATGCCTCTTTCTTGCTGGCCGCAGTGGCCCTCTTCAGATCTGATGCCTCATGGGCACTCTGAAAGCCAGCAAGTAGTTTGATGTCTATCCCAACCATGCTCACCATTCCTGACTTTAATGGAGCAGTCCTTCTCAGGAGCCCAGAAATTAGCTAACAGCTGGCTGTGAGAATGCTCATCCCTAAGAAGTATGTGCTAACAGGCCAGATGCTAATTAAGTTGGGGAAATTAGATTTGGAATATGTATCCTTTCATTTTTGCACAAAAGACTTTGGAGGATTTTTCACTGTCAGACTTCAAGTTTAAATATGACCTGTAGATACAGATGTAGACATAGATCATTTGTTTTTGTTTTAGTTCTTACATTATTGGCCACGAGAATGGCTGGAGCTTACTAAGGAACATGTTTCTAAAAATCATTATTAAACCAAACATCATTATCATGTCTCTCTCTATACAGGCATACCTCATTCATTGTGTTTCACTTTATTGTGCTTTGTAGATACTGAGTTTTGTTTACAAAATGAAGGTTTATGTCAACCTTGAGTTGAGCAAGTCTATCAGCACCAGTTTTTCAACAGCATGTGTTCATTTTGTATCTCTGTGTCACATTTTGGTAATTTCAAATTTTTCATAATGCTGTTGCACACTTATTAGATTGCAGTGTAGTGTAAACATTACTGATATGCAGTGGGAAAGTAAAAACTTCATGTGATTTGCTTTATTGAGATATTTACTTTATTGGGGTGTTCTGGAACCAAACCCACAATATCTCTGAGGTATGCCTGTATATGACAAGCCAATATTATAAATGTGCTCCAAAGATGAGCTCCAAGCACAAAGAATCTATTCATTTCTGCATAATTATAAAGACTCTAGGTTGTGACTATTGATACAAGAAGTGGTGGTTTTCAAGGCCCATTCAGTATTTTCCTTTGTTTTTAATGATCTTATTCTGATTTACATTACTCTGGGCTTCTTTGAGGGAACTCTGGTGGCATAGTGCCTAAGGCAATTGACCAGAAGCCTAGTGGTTGAAACCCACCAGCCACTCCTCAGAAGGAAGATGGGACAATCTACATCCGTAGTGATACTGCCTTGGAAACCCAAGGAGAGGTCGCTATGAGTCGGATCCGATTCGACAGCAGTGAGTTTGGTTTTGGTTTTGGGCTTCTTTGCTTCCCTCCTATTACTTGAATAGATTGTCCCTACCCAGGAATCTGCACCATCAGAGGTGTCAAGAGGCAGTGGGAAGAGCCTGCAGGAGCAAAGACCTGGGTTCCTGCTGTCACTTATTGTGAGCTCTCAGGCAAATCATTATAGCCCGCAAAGACTCTTTGTCCTCAGCTTGACACTGAGGGGGATACAATATTTAGTTTCCAAGATTTCTTCTCGTTCTATAAACTCTAGGTTCCACGAAGTGCTTTTGAGACAGAAGTGAAGTTGCAACATCACATTGTTCCAATTATCATTTACTCTTAAATTTTGCCTGGGTCTCAAATGGTTGCTATTCGTTACTCAGTTTTTGGAATTTGTGTAATGAATGTTAGCCATGTTGGGTCATGGTGACTGAGCTGGTTAGGAACAAACCACAAGCTACGTAACTTGTACCCCAGTGCCTCTTCTCCTTATCTTAGAGTCTTTGGAGTAGCATGGTGTGACTCTAGGGTGTAGTGGAAGGTGGAGCTGGTGTGAATCCCAGCTGTGCTCTGTTCCTTCCTACAAGAGCACCACAGAACAGGATGCTAACTCCCTGAACCTCAGTATGTTGTTGTTGTTATGTGCCATTGAGTCAGACTCAACTCATAGCAACCCCTCCTTGGGTTTCCTAGGCAGTATCACTACGGAAGTAGATTGACCAACCTTCCTTCCAAGGAGTGGCTGGTGAGTTTGAACTGCCAGCCTTCTGGTTAGCAGTCAAGTGCCTTAGGCACTATGCTACCAGAGCTCCTGAGCCTCAGTAGACACATACCAAACCAAAACCAAACTCACTGCTGTTAAGTAGGATCTGACTCATAGCAACCCCTCCTTGGGTTTCCAAGGTGGTATCACTATGGAAGTAGATTGTACAATTTTCCTTCCAAGGAGTGCTGGTGAGTTTGAACTGCCAGCCTTTCAGTTAGCAGTCAAGTGCCTTAGGCACTATGCTACCAGAGCTACCCAGTATACACATAGGGGGCAGAAATGGTGCAAAAACATATATCTCTAGATTGTGTAGGAATTATATGAAATAGTACTTGGCCCGGGAGCTCTGGTAGCGTAGTGCCTAAGGCACTTGACTGCTAACCAGAAGGCTGGTGGTTCAAACCCACCAGCCACTTCTCGGAAGGAAAATGGAGCAATCTACTTCTGTAGAGATACTGCCTCAGAAACCCAAGGAGGGATCGCTGTGAGTTGGGTCTGACTCCACAGCACATAACAACAACAACAACAACAGTACTTGGCCCACAGTGGGCACTTGAAAACTGCTAAGTAACCACCTTAGTTTACTAAAAGCAGGGCTGTTAAGAAGTCATTAATCTCCTCTTAAGTTCATCAGAAAACCTCAGCAATTAATAATAGCAGTAACACTTACATAGTGCTTCCTATGTCCTAGGAGCTCTTATAAACACTTTGCATGTATTAACACATTTAATTCTCACACACCTCACAGGAAGGTGCTTACATTA